TGATGGGGTTGGGGCTTACATGGTGTGCTCCCATGACTAAGAGCTCCAGTCACTGATGGGGCTCCCAGCTTTGGGAGCGCATGGTGCACCCCATGGCTGGGAGCTCTGATCACTGATGGGGTTCCAGCTGCAGGGCTGCATGGTTACCCCTACAACTGGGAGTCCCATCAGTGAACAGAGGGTCCCTGTGTCCCTGCAGCTGGAATCTCTGTCAGCTGATCCAGGCCCCCAGCTGGGGGAGCTCATTGTGCTCCCTCAGGTGGGAGCTCTGATCAGGCGACCAGTGCCTCCAGCCTCAGGCTCTGGGCCCAAAGGTATAAATTTTCTGAGGATCTGTAGTTGAAATTGTCAGGACAACCAGCACTGAATAGCTACTATGACACAGCTTAAATGTTTGCTGACTTTCTCATACTTTCTCCAATGTCCTATCATTTGATATCTTATGTCTCATTAGCAATTAAAACAAAATCAAGAATGCAATTCCCTCTTATGCTGTAGTCAGGTAAAAAGTGCTGCCAAAGGAATCTTACTGACAAGGTAGTTTCAAAACTAGCTGGTGATGGAGACTGTTCATCAAAACAGCAGATGAGCAACAATATTAAAATGCCACTGGCTGCATTTAACTAACTGGGGGAAATAACTTTTCATATTTGTTAAAATTGGTGGATCTTATGAAAAGATTAATTCTGGTAATTAATTTTACCTTCTGCAATGTGTCACACTAACCAGACATCTTCACCTTCAGAACTAAGAGGCTAGCTCAGTCTCACAACTCATTCATTTCAGGAAGTGCTGCAGGTTGCAAAAAAATGTGAAATCCTAGTTGAAGTAGATTTGTGATGAAATTGTATAAAAACTCATTACATGGGATATTAGGTTTTCTTCCAGATTAGTAGTTCAGGTTACTGTAATATTTTGCATAATTTATCAGAATGTTTTCCTAGCACAGTGATTTTATTATATGGTTTAATACATGATATTATATAAAATATAAATATATTAAATATATTATAGAAAACATAATTTAATATATATATATATATACTTCTATTTATATGAATAAATAGAAAACTTGATTAGGTAAAGGGAAAGTCAAAATACATGTATTTTCAGATTAAAAAAATACTAAAACAAAGTGTGGTGGCGGGCAAATACTGTTTCTCTTGATATTACAGATAATTAATAATCACTTTTGATAAGAAAAGAATTAAACCTTGTATTCTAATCATGATTCAGGTTTGTATCACACCAAACCTGAACCTGTATATGTTGCTGAAAACAACATCCATACAGGCTCAAGATGACATTAACAGTTTTCAAGGAGTAAAATCATCTCAGACATTTCTTGGCAGGATATTGTATCTTCCTAGGAAAGTTTTTCTTTATACAGTAATAGGTCAACTCAAATCACATTAGAGAAAGATGAATAAACAAAGGCCAAATTCTGAACTTGGGAATGAAACTATATACCCTATTGAGGTAAGTGGGTATTGCATGTGTCCAGTCATTGTGAGAATTTGGCAGTATAGACAGCTCACTTTGGCAATGGTTACAGTTAAGGACAAAACATGCAGTAACTTCATTGCTGCAGGCTCAGACCTGTAATGTGCAGAGGTGTAAATAACAGGAAACTAGAAATTTGAGTTTTTTGAAAAAAGACCATGGGAAACAGATTCATCATGTTCAAACTTCTCTAAGGAGCTTATGAGACAACTAAAAAACTGCTCAGCCTAACACTACTAGCAACACTGAAAAACACCTACTGGATCTTTTAAAGTTGAGACCTACATATTAATAGTACGGCAGTGCGACGATAGTCATTTTTTTTTACTTTTGTGTTTGCATTATTTATTATTCTAAGAGAGATTTCTGTTTATTTGAAATTGACAAAAAATAAGTAAGTCCAAAGTAAAACACAAATACCATCTGATTATCTCAATAGCATCTTGCACCTCAATATATGGGTCTCTCTCTAAACTCTGACTCATCTGCTACCAATAGGCTGTCAGAGGTGATAATCACCCACACAAAGCTATTTGCACCTCACATCACTACTATCTCATATCTAATTATACCCTTTATAACAAACTGTTTAGCACAATCAGTGAAATTGTGCTTTATAGGACTAAATCAGAAGATATAGGTTAGAAGATTATTTTTTAATAAAGTATACAAGAAAACACTAATAACTTTTGATACCTGGTCACAGTAATGTACATCCTGATTTATTCACCTAAAACACTGGCACAATTACTATAAAGTAATGTATTTTATACAATATCAACATACAAGTTGAAAGCATAACTAATCATAAAATCTACATAATATCAAATTTGTTTTGGGACTCATTAATTGCTAGCAATTTCCCCAGTATTTTTCCAGACATGTCTGAAAAATGCTGAAAAGAGCAGCACTGGAATCAAGTAGGCTGGAAATGATCAAAGAACCTATCATTTAATTGACAGACAACAGCAGGTACAAATGACCTTAATGGGAAAGCTCTAGTTTAATTTATTTTAGTTTTTTTGGTAGATGATCAGAAAGGATGTTTACTTAATGACCATTCTTTCTTTGTGTTTAAACTTTAATGATGTGCTGCTTTAATAAAAGATCCTTTGAGATCAAAAAGAATAAAGAATTATACATATATGTAAACATGTAAATGTATATAGATATTATTTTTCTTTAGGCATGCTTTGATTATAAGAGTCTTCTGGGTGTTACATGAACACCTGTTACAATAGCATCTTCTTTGTATGCTGGCAGTTTAGTGTTCATTTTTTTTCATACTAAACTGAGAAAAGCTTGAAGCATACAAAAGACCATGCCTCCAGCTCAGTGTTCACTAGCAGGCAAAAAATTGCAGCACCTCAGAATAATTTCTTGTCCCCAGATGGGGTAAGAACTCTACTGATATGAACACAAACACTGTATTAGCAGAGACAAAAGAAGAACTCATGCACAATCCATTAAAGCAGCCGCAACTAATTAATCATTTGCTTTTATATATTGATTGTAATTCTCCTAAAATATAGTTACATAATAGAATACGACCAAGAGGAGTCAATGGATCTCTATTGTGTAAAGACAATTCTGCTATTTCTATTGTATATAAAAAAAGTTAGAAAATTGTGCCAGTGAACTGCAACTTTTTTCCCCAGCTACTTAAAAAAAAAAAAAAAGAGGATGGGGGAAGGGGCAAGCAGCATAGTCATTATCTCTTGCTTGTATTCACAAGGCAGTATTCATACTCTGTTCTTTCCTCAAGGACTGGGATATTTTAGAACCCTGCCCCAAAGGAGTTTGTACCAGACAATGCATAGACTTGCAAAAAGTATTGGATTTTCCAAGGGATGCTAAACAGACTTTTGTCAATTGTTAATGGGGGAATGATATCAATCACTTCAGTGTAGAAATTTACAAACATTCAAAGAGGTCAACAATGCATCCTTTCAGGTCACCATTGATTGAAAATATTTGAGTTTCCCTATTAAGTATTCAAAGGCCAACATCTGCTGATGCTCAGAGATGGTGAATGTGGTGAGGGTTTTATGGAGTGTAAAGTGAAAATTACAATTGTATAGTCCATGCAATAGAGTACTGACAAACCATAGCACAAACAAACTCCAAAGAGCTATTTTCCCATTTATCCATTTCTTAGTTATAATAGTAGCATTTCAGAGAACAATAGTTTCAATAGTCTCTCTTTACTGGCTTTCATTTAATTTCTTTTTTGGGCATAAAGTATATGTGTAAATGCAATTGTCAAGGTTTAGAACGTAGCATATCACTGTGCATTTGCAGTTAGGCAAATGTCGAGGGAGATACTAAAGCAGAAAAATTAGACTATTAAAACTGAAGGCTTTCATTTGCAAGTTGTTATCGTTGATGTTGTTTTGCTTTTTAAGGCTGCAAAACACATGCTGTAGCATTAAGCTGGTAACTAAATGGACGTGAAACACTTTTCCCATTTATAAAGAGGCTAGTTTTGATGCTGTTTAGAGCTTAACAAATCAGTGCCTAAGTCTATTCATGAGCTAAAGTAAACTGAGCTGATTTATAAATTGAAAGACCTGACCATGCATTTATAAGAAGCAAGACAGTTGTTTTATTCAAATTGTCAAAAGTATTGCTTTTCAGCTGGATATCAGGTATTGCAAATCTTTCACCACTGTTTAAACTGTGATAGTGCTATGTACCACTGAACCTGCACTTAAAGTCAGTAAAGCAGAGACCATAGGGAACATTCTCTCACCCAGAAACAGCACGATACATTTTCTACTTCTGTGCATTGTTTCTAATCAGCTATCATTCCATGACTGCATTTCTCAGCTGTAGGGTGTTTTGACTCAAAGACCATGCTATTATTTTTCTTCCTACTTCCTATATTGTTCTTTTTAAAAATAATACTTGAGTTCATAAAATGACAAGATTACAGTTTGTGAGTTTTATTTAATGTTTTGTTGGGGGTTCGAAAATAACCAATTCTTTTAAAAAAAATAACATAGTTCTGTTTTTCTGCTCCATGAAGCCCAGTTCTGAGGCCCACTGGAAAGATCCTATGGCATCATTATATTCAATAGATCATATATAAATTGATATATTTTCTGTTCTTATTTACTTATTTGAATATAAGCACATAATGGTAGTGCACTTCTCAGTAACTAACAACATTTGGGGTTTTGAAAAACATACTTGGCAAATATTTTTCAGCTGAATGTCACCCTGATTCTCTAATTTGTAAGACTTTCATTTGCTGATCAGAACTGATCAGGAAATCCATGTTTGCAGTCAGATGTGCTGTCATGAGCTGCACAACATATTCTGTTTAATCACTTAATATGGAAATGTAGCACAGGAAAGTCAATAAAATAGTCCTCTTCATTGTAAAGTACATTTCAGTGAAACGTTTTCTATGGCAGAAATGGATCGTAGGAAAACAGATCTGAGAAGTGCAACAACCAAACAAAACTATTCCGGATCCAGTTTTAATTACTTACTACCAATACTGGAAATACTGGGAATACCTGTAGAGAAAGAAAATAAAGAGGGCTGTTAGCTGTTTATTGAAAATAACTGAAAACCTGTAGTGTTATATCAAATATTCTGGAAAGTATGTTCTTATACTCTTCAGAATACAATATTAGCAAGAAATTAGAACCAAGAACTTACCAATACATACTCAGATCTTCTCTTTCTAATTCTAGAACTCTTCTAATTCTAGAGCTCTTCAACTCTTTTTATAAGTTTACACAGAATTTTAGAGCATATTTATTTTTTAAAATAATGACACTGAATATTTTTGGCCAACAGAGCAGCTTTTTTCCCTTTTCTCCTAATTTCATGGGGTTGTTCAGAACAGTTCTCTATTTCAACCACACAGTCATTAAGGCTTCTAACAAAATTCTGGAATTGGAGATCAGATCCCACACATGTCAATGCAGGGGGAGCCCAGTGCCTACTCGCCAATGCAGGGGGAGCCCAGGATCATGATGCCAGAATCCTGGGTGCTGTTGAGTTGAAAGCAATCATGATGGCTGGCTCTGGGACTCCGCAAGTGTTTGAACCAGCCCTGGTGCAGTCCCCAGAGCCAGCTGACAAGCAGCTGATTTAAGCCCCAAATCAGCTGACTGTCAGCCACTGGGGCCAGCACTGGGCCTGGGGCCCTTTGTGGTCCAAACCCTGCTGCACATTCTATTTAAGGTGTGATGGAAACCAGCCACAAAAATATTACGCATATTTTGGGTAATATTTTTATGGCTGGTTTCCCTTTTGTGGCACCATTAATTCCCTATGTGTGTACCTGGGTTACTATTTAAGATGGGGTTAACAGACTAATAGCATCTTAGGTATTATGCCAGGAGCCTAAACTTCATAATTTGAATAACAAATGCAGACCATGCATACGTTATGCACGTTGAAGAAAATATTTTAACGTGGGGATAGGTGCAGTGGTAGCTGCTTCAGTGCAGAACATTAGTTGATGCTTTATTAGATTTGTGCTTCTCTTTCAACTGTCAGTTACCTAGATTAAGTTGTCTAAAAGAACTTTAATTGAACAAAATAATATAACACATTAGGTCACTCATTGATCATACCCCTCATTGATTTGCCTGCTTTCACTTTAATTCTCAAGTAGAATTAGGGTGGGAAAATCAGTCGAGGATGTGGCTGCACTTAGAAAATATGGATATACAATACTCCCTGAAATGTAATCTTTTCCCCTTTTGTTTTGCTAAAGTGAAATATGTTAGTGAGACTATTCCTGGTTCCATGGGTTAAAACCACAAAATTACAGACATGAAAACAAAACAAAAATGTGCTTTACTTTAAATTTGGTGTGCTCCTGCGCTGAGCCCAGCATATATCCAAAAGAGGCAGGGCGTTACTTTGACCTGGCTCTGTAGCGTCTGTATAGATTGGGCACTTTAGTGGGACGTTTTGGTGCTTTTATCTAATTGCTGACTGGATCAGCTAATAGATAGTGTCAAAAAGCCCCACTGAAGAACCTTGTCTATATAGATGTTGCAGTGCCAGGTTGAACTAACACGCTATTTCTTCCTGTAAAACAAGGGTTTTTTTTTTTCATGTCTGCAAGTAGACACACTGTTGGTGTGTATTTACATAATGGATATGCACATAATCTCATTTAAATAAGGTTGCTTTTTATAAATTTCATTAACTTTTGAAGGCCTGGTTTTATGTGGTAGAAATCAGTCTGTTTCATTAGACACTGGCTGTGCCTATTTGAAATTCTTTCTTGAAGACCTTCCTAAATCAGAGAAACTAATTCTGCTATTACTCAAGCTAAAGTCAGGGCAAGGATAGGCACTGTTCAGTAAGCAAGAATTGCCGAATCGAGACCAATATTGTTAGAATCCTTCTGGTTATCATATATTAGTAACCTACTATGCAATATGGAACATACGAATGTCTTCTTCCATGGCCCCATACTAAACTTTTTGCGCTGGCAGGATCAAGGCCTACCAGGGTCAGCCAGGGATTCTGCCAGTGTGCAAGCCTGATGAAAAGTGAAGAGCTGACATAGCTGAAAACATTCCACCCACTGCAATCTGGTTTAGGAATATAGCTAGAAGGAAGTGTGTGTCCTTAGAGGCTGCTCTAAATTATGTCAGAGCTAGGGCAATGCCAAGCTAGCTACAGGATTGGGAATCATAAACAGTTCCTTTGTGACTCCTTGCATCAGTTATATGTCATGTTTTATTGAGGACAAGTGAGAATTGTTCCCACAAGGTACCCATATATTATTTGGAAACTCTTGAGTGCTCAATCCTGCAAGGTGCACGGTATCATCTTGCAAAAGGCACCCAAGACCATGCAGATTCCAATGCTAAGCAATATTTAGGAAAAAACCTAATTTTACCCCTGCTGAGAATAAACTGATACTCAAAGAAAGGTCTAGCCATATTTTTCAAAATTTCAGAATCATGCAATTAATATGAACAACTAAAAAGAATCCAAAGTTTTAGAAAAAAATTACAATCACATTTTTAGAGACAGTAAAACATGACTATTCCACTTCCGTCATATTTTCTGGTGAATGGATTAACTATGATGGAATTCTTTACTATTCTCTACCATTCTTTACCAAAGTTGAAGGGCATTCAACTTTTCATACTATTTTTAGGTAAGTTCCAATAATACATATTTCTGTTTTTGTGTCAGTGCAATTGTGTTTTAAATTAACAGGCTTTATTTTTTGTGTAGACACATAAGAATAAAACAGATAATAGATATGATTCAGGTAACATATTCTCACACTCGCATTTCCCTTGTGAAATGATACATTAATTCCTATTATATAAGAAGCTTTCATTCTCTTCGGGCAAGGTGTATCAGAGGAAGAGGTTTTCCCACTAGTTTGTTCTCCTTTTCCTTTACTGTACCTTAAATGTCTCAATGAAAAATAATGATGAACGTTTTTCAGGCAGGGAAGAGTAACAAAAATAAGGCGACTGCTCGCCTGAAGGACTTTGTATTAATCTTGTTAGGCTGTATTCCAGTTCTATTTCAGAAGCTATTTCCATAAAGAGTTTTTCTATCACTGTGACACTTTGTAAGTTATATACAATTTATGAATTCCACTTTGATTTTATAAACTGCCTGTATTTTTACATCCTATGCCTCTCTTTTATTGTGTACTGTCACTGCTTCTAGTGCTAAAGAACAAGCAAATGGGGCCTATACATCTAGAGCAGGAGTGGGCAAAATACAGCCCGTGGATGGAATTTGTCCAGCCTGTGGTGGGTCCCTCAGTCCCACCTGACCCAGGCACCATCCGGCCTGTGGCATGTCCTGCCTCCCTCAGGGAGCACAGAAGGGCTGGGGAGGCTCCGTGGCTGGACTGCATTGCTAGGCAG